GTGGGCAGACAAACCTTTGCTCCAAAGGATTGCTCTTCCTTCAATGCTTTGTGCTCAATCAATTCCTTCCCTGCTTCTTGCTTCGCAACACCTGCGTTCCACGAAATCATGTGTCCTCCAATCGAAGCTCACATAATGCATCTACGTGTGGGTGAATGGGGTGCCACCGCTCTCGGACAACCACGAGAAAAAGACAATGTTGAGGCTTCAATGTGTGGCAGACAGCGCGACTTGCTTGAAATGAGTCAGGACAGAATGGAACACACATATTGCCCCGACAAGCCAACTGATTGGCGCAACTCGAGGACGCAACCATGAGTGACAACGATGACACATCGGACAGTCCAATGAGGCGCCTATTCGCGACGTGATAGGCGAATCACAGGCGTTTGCATAGGTAAGGGAAGTGAGGCGAAGTGGTGGTGTCGACGGTGTGGTGATGATGTGGCAACGTGGTGGCTGCTGTAGGTCGGCTGGACGTGGTAGTGTGCGCCTGTAGTCCAGCTGCTGCACACATGTAGATCGGGCGTCCACGCGAAGCGCGGCGTCGATGCGGCGGTTATGTGCACGTGGTGCAGTAGGGGAGATAGCGTCTGTGAATGGTGGGTGCAGGATGTTATAGAGGGCGTGCGACCACCTCCTTACCTTCTCCTCTCTTTGCCTCTCACCTCCACCGACCCACCGCCCCACCATCCACTCCCACCATTACTCACTCATCTCATTTCGACTCACTCACTCATTCACTCATTTGTTTCATCATTTATTTCGACTCCCATTTCAGCTCATGCCCACCCCCACGTTCTGCTTTCCCAACTGCTCCAACACCCTCGCTGTCACCACTTCCACCACAGGTCCCATCTCTACGTGCTTCCACCGTCTCGATACACACAGCACAAATTACCCTCCCTCGACACGCACATGTGGAGGCAAGAGGAACGCGATTTACACAGCCCTTCGCCTCCTCACTCTCCACTTTACACTGCATGATGTTGCAACTTATGCAGAGACCAGCTGAGTGAAGGCTCTAAGCCTACGTGCCACATGCGCATGCGGGGATTGTGTGGACTAGCCTGCACGATCATCTCAATGAGTCGATAAATGATGCTGGCAGTAGTAAGCCTTGCAGTTCACTTTGTGAGGCAAATGCTGCCACCATTACAGGCCGCTTTGAGCTAACAAACAACAAGGACGTGGATATTGATGTCAAGACGGTAGAGCTGCCTTTTGGCACCCAGCAGACACCTTCATTCCTTCATTCGGGAATGGAGTCCAGTTGTCTGCTCAATCAGTTTCACTCACCACTAACCAGAACATGTAAAGGAGGGAGGAGTGATCACCGCCCCACGTACCGTGCAGCAAACCAGCTTCATCCAATCTCACAATATGGCCACCACTCTACGTCATTCTACTTTTATCATTTAAGTAGCGTTACTACTGTTTAAGTTAGGCATGTGTGTTGTGGCATTCATTGTGCAAACAAAGGCCACTCACCTTTGTAATCACAATCCTCACTGCCATAGGAATCAGTACATTTCGCCTAAGCACTGTGACATCCAACAGTCATGCAAATGCAATCAAACATGTGCACGAGGAAGGAGTGATTGGTTTAAGTGTGCAACTGATAGCATTTAATGGCAAAGCCATGAGCAACCCAAACCCACATTCACGTCCATTATCCATGTGAGCACTACATAGTATATCGTCTTCACATCAAAAGGCAGAGGTAGAACCTCCTAGCACCTGTCGTCAGTCGGACTGGATGGCAGCACCACCTCTACCTCCTCAACCATCTCATCTCGATTCATTGAAGACATGAGGGAACCACTCCACTTAGGTGACATGAACTGAGGATGAATAAGTCCTCTTCTGGCAGTTTGTTATGGTTAACACTGCCTTTTGTAGTGCGTACTCGCGTGAGTTTGACAATGGCGAAGTGGCAAAATAAAATGGATAGAATTAAGGAAGGACAGAAACGTTTTAAGGAGGTGGAGTAGGGTTAATGGAATGACAATAATGCTAATAAAGGTTAAAGAACTGAGGACTTTGTGTGTTTATGCAAAAGAATTGGTGAAGAGGTGTGAGTGGAGGTAACAAGAGTGAAAGAAGAAGATGAAGGAAAGGAGAAGCCGATTTGTCTCTGCCTTAAGCGGTCCTCATCGTGTGTGACGAGCTTTGAGGTGCAAATTCTACATGAGGCGATACAGGGGCTAATGATGATGACTGCCTTCGGGCTATGCCAAAACGTCACGGTAATTTTCTTCTGATCTGCAACTCATGGATTTATTCCCTGTTTTCTAAATCTGCAACTTTCAAGTCATCAGTAAGCCTTATTTTCATTACCTTCCGGCCAAGCCCATAGCTACCATTATTTTAATAATTCTAACTGTAATACTTTGTTTATTTGATCTGGCGCCTACTTTGAGCTTCGTCTTGCCCTTGTACGCGGGGATCGGCCTTAGGTCCAAGCTGACGCCCAATCCTTTCTTCTCCTCTTACAACACATGCATTAAGCCCGACTTTGTGAATTATTCGGCTCACTGGGAAGTCTCGGAGCCTTACACTTAAGGCAAAGGAAAGCGAATCTGCCTTTTCAAATCACTCCTGGCCTAGCATCCATCGCGGTGCCGAATAAGCGCAGATACTTCGAGGAGGAGATTCTCTCAATTCTCCACAGCAAACGAGTTGGGAATGATGTTTACGCTTAGCTCCATCCCGTTCTCGAGTTCCACAGGCAAGCTATTCACAATTGGAGCTGTGAACCATCTGGACAAGTTTCGTACTGAGATTTTACCTAACTGCAGCCACGTATGAGTATTGGTGATGAAACTACAACGAATCCCTTTTCATAGGGAACTGAGTTTTTATCCCGTCTTCCAGTTCTGAAGGCAACTGACAATCAACAGACGTGTGCGGTCCTGATTTTTGCTGTCAGCCGGAACACAACTCCAGATCCACCTGAAGCTGCTGAGAAGGTAAAGTTCATTGCCTCAGTCTCATGGTAGATGATGATTGGCGTGACTGGCCCGTGAGTGTTCACTGTAGCACAGAATATGTTGCGATGGCTAGTGTGGAAGGTGTGCCAAGGGGAGAGCCGAGGGCGTCGTCTGGTTTTTGTACGCGTGGGCTGACCTTCAGGCCAAGTCAAGGGGACACACAAACCTTTGGTCCTCAATTTTGAGATGAGCAAAAATATTTCCCATGCAATGAGCAACTTTTAATCCATCAAAATCCCTGATTTCTAACCCTTCAAGTCTGCAACTACCACATCATCATAATCATAATCATCAGTTCTTTAAGTTATTCCTTGTAAATCCCATTTTGGTGAGCCTATGCGTTTATAAAAGGTGCATAAATGAGTGGAAAGGAGTGACAGGATACTTTGAAATAATCTGTACCAAAAAACTTACATTTAAATATTCTAAATTTACTTTTGTTGTAACCGGAACCTTGCTTTGACAGCGTGGGCTGAGAGAGGACACAGTTGGAAGGGGAGAAATTGAACAAGCTCTCTTGCATGTAATGCCTCAATTTCTAAATTTGTTTTCTGTTGTGTTAGTAGGTGACTTTTTCGACAATTTACTCCAAAAAGTCGTATTTCTCGTGCAACCATTAACAAGTTATATGACAAGTTGTGTGCGTGTGTAAAGTGTAGAGACTTTCTATGGGATTGAGGAAGGTCTTTAGTGGGAGGATAAATAGAGGTTGAGCCGTTGCTTGGCCTGAAGTCCAGTACACGTAGCCCAGAGCAAGATGAGGGCCACAAAGTAACCGCCAATCCAGGAGGTTGTCAAATACCATTAAACCTTACAACTTGCATTCCTAAGAAGACAAAAACAATGCCCAAAATAACACAATCACAACCACCGGGAGTTGGGAGATTGGCAGAAACACCCGTCAAAACACTACCAGCACCAAGTCCACTTACTAATCAAAATACCTGCAATTAGTTGACCGTACGAGTTTCATTCTCCATTCCCGAAAGATTTGTCCAAACGAATGCCAAACATCCTGATGACAGTGATTCGATGCACATGTGATGTGTAATAACGGGTACTGAAGTTTCGACCGAGAGGGTGAGAACCATTCCTTGTATTTCGGAGTCGGGAAAATAGTAAAAAAAATTTATAAGGTGGAAATGGCCATCACATTGCCTAGGTCAGACCCACTATTGGAAGAGTGCATTTCATATCAGCCCTGCAAGCCGTGCCACTGCACCTCTGCCGCTGCACAAAGTCACTGTGTCCCCATCGCGGTGAAAATTAGCACTATCGTAACACATAAATGTAGTGCAATGTAATACATTGTTTATGTGATCACCTGATGTTCGGCGGTTACTTTAAGATTGGTCTGGCTGTTGTATGCGTGGGCTGGCCTTGGGGCGAAGCTCAGGCTTGATATTTTGTCTCTCCTAGTTCCAGCCTTCGTCCATGTGGTGGGAAGTCTCGGCATACTGCATTCTCTTCGCCTTGAATGCATGTATTCATCCAAACTAAATGCCTTCTCATACCTAATGGGAAGTATCGGGAACAACAATGACCGATAGTCTTCTTGCAGATGGATTGCATTCCTCTCATCTTTGGGCAGGACTAACATGTTTAGGAAAACACAAACTATCACTCTATTCTAGAGGTCAAACAAAAAATTTCATTTCTTTAGTGTAAGATATTGAAAAGGGTGTGCACACGAAAGAGACGTTGTGCACTCCCATCATCTCATTTTACATCCTTCCAAATCTTGTCAACTGCACAGACCCTCATCTCTGCACTTGTTTAGCCACTAACACCGTGCCAACTAGTAGGAATCCACGCCATTGCAATTCGGTTTTATGTATTTTGCAATGCTTTGTTTGTTTGGCGGTCACGTTGGGATTTCAGCCCATGCTCAAGCCCATTTGCTATGTCTTCTTCGGAATACATGTCCAACCTCGCTTACTGCTCTCTTCCACCCTATGGGAAGTCTGGGGACGCTACACTTGTGGCAGCGGAAAGCGAGCTAAGCATTTTTTTTTAATGACCTCTATCCTAGCACTTGCCTTTTGTTGCATGTACCTACGGTGTGCAGGAGGCGCATTTATCTCGGTGGCGGGAGATTCCATAAATCCTTCACAAAAAAAGGATTTAGACTGGCGTCTGCATTTGGTTTCACCTTATTTCCGTGTTCCGCAGACAAGTTATTAGCAACTGAAGCGATACCGTCGTGAACTATCTGGAAAGGTTTCGTGTCGGAGTTTCCCATACAAAATCCGTGTATAGGTGTCGGAAATGACACCACGGTTCTCCTTACATACGGAACAGTGGCTCATCTCGTTTCCCCTGTAACATGTCTGCAGTAGACCCGAGTTCCACCGTCTAGTCCTGGAAGCAAATGATGGTCAACAGGTGTATACGGCCTCCAATCCGATTGTCAGACCGAACGCAAATTCAGATGCAGTTGAAGCTGCTGAGGAGACCAGGTACGGTTCCTGAGTCTCATGCTATTTGTCGACTGGAGCGGTTGACTCGAGGGTGCTTTCAGGTGGTACGGAATATGTTGTGGCGACTGGCGCGGGAGGTGTACCAAGGGGGTCGCTGAGGACTTCGCTCAAAAGAAGAAAGTGACAGTGTAATGCTTCGCTTAAGTGGCTATTTGACGTTTGGCGGTCACTTTAGGATCTGTCTGACCCTTGTATTCGTGGACTGGCCTTTGGACCATGCTTAGGCCCGTTTGCTCTGTCCTCTTCGGAATACATGTATACAACCTCGCTTACTGCCCCCTTCCACCCTATGGAAAGTCTGGAGACGTTGCAAAACAAACGGCAACTTCCTTATTTGCACATAAAGCCAGGAAAGTATTAGTTGTGTAGCCAAGCAAAAAGGAAAGGTAATTGATAACTGCATGATAGAATTGATGGTTAACCCACGAGAATATTTTTTGTGAACGTATGTCCGTCTTCATACCTAAATCATATGATCGCACTTAAGACGAATACACAAGTAAGTAATTTTACAAATTGCGTCCTCGTTTTATTGCATAAATCTAGAGGCGGGTGGAGAGAATTGCACCAAAGCTTTGCAGGTAGTGTACTTCGGCATTATTATTAGACGACGGTTCATGCGATTGCTTAGAGGGGATATGGAAGTTCGTTAACTAGTCTTGTATTTTAATAACGGTGGGTTTCAAGTAATCAGATCCTTGTGGTTGGAGAGGCTTTTATTTACTCTGAAAACATGCAACTCGTTCATTATTTTCTCACTTATGCTTTGTCACCTTATTAACATGTGGCTGCCTATTTGCTTTGTCAACTTTCTTGATGTAATTAACGTCTAAGAATGCTCAAAGCTTATATCACGATTTATCACATTACTACTGCAGCATTTCCGGTGATTAAGGAAAATGGATGTAATTTGAGTAGTGATGGGTTATAAGCAGTGGGGTTGGTCATATTTTAAAGCCTGTCGGTTACTTCTCTTTGTCGTGTCAAAGACGTAGCGGGTCTGACTTTGAAGAAGTTGAATTATTACCATCATCGCATGGGAGGTTGCTGGATTCATTTGTCAATAAATTACGTGCTGGTTTCAACCTCGCAAGTATTCGGCAACTTAATCATTTCCCAAATGGTAAAACATGGTTAATTTGTCCTCCTATTCATTCATTTGGCATAATGCAGAGGTTAGTGGGGAAACTGTTGCATTGGATCTACAATTCTGCATATAGCTTTAATTAGTAGGAGGAGAATGATGCAGAGGTAAAAACTCAACTCCTTGTTAGGGGAAGGTTGGTGCACTGCGGAGGCAGTCCAAGGCTCATCAATGGTCATGTCTCAACTTTTGGATGAGACATCGTCAAGATTGAATGACAGTGGTGTCACCCAAGAGTTGATTGCCTATGCCTCCAGTTGCGGTCTTTGTGCATTGGCAACTCCCAACCCAAGCGCACGTTAAACTGAGGGGCAATTTCGCTTCAAACACTTTCTACTGAATACCAATTCAGCAGCACTGTCGTTGGGCTGTGAAGAACTTCGTATCAGCAACGACTGATGCTGGGCTAAGTATGAGATGAAAATAACGTGCACATAGGAGTGGTTTCCTCCACAACACTTTGTAATGGTAAACAAATGTAGCTTATGTGGTTATCATTATCCCTTATGACTGACTGCTTCCCTTCTTCCAGTCTAAACAGACACTTTACCACGGAAACAGCAACGCAAGTCACTTCCTGTTTTGTTCATTGCGCTCTTCCGCGCACCTCCTTACGGTAGGTTTCTTCCGTTCTTCCATTCATACCCCTTTTATTTGCATTATTTTATGAGCATTGATATGTTGTTTTTAATTATTAAGTAGCTATCACTTGTCAGGTTCTTTAGCAGAATTTGACGACTCTTGTAAAGTGGTACTCGCTAAAATGCATGATACTTGATCAGGGGACTTTACTGCCAACGGTTGTAGGGAATTAAAGGTTAACACTATGATGTGGTGAAGGACGGTTCGTAACGAGTCACCTGTGCTGTCCGAGTTACCTAGTAAATTGAGTGCCAAGCTACGTCAGTTTTTTTGCTCTTGCAGGCCCAAAGAGGGCAGTCAAAAGTCTGCAGGACGGCTACCTTGAGTGTCTTGAAAACACTGAACCACTGATACTGAACACTGATAATGTAAGCCATGCCATGTATTCCATGTTTTGTGTCGCTCTTCCACCGTACCGACGCACAGGCTTTGTCACTCGCTTGAACCGCTCCACAACTCCTCTTGCACTAATCGTCTAGTGTGCTCGTGAATGCAGGCCAGTGTCACATTTCCTGAGTCGCTATCTCTGCTATGACTCAATCGGCACTTTCAACCATTACTTAAGTAAGAATACTGAGATTTGCAAGCCAATGATTTACATCAGCGGTCGAGGAGGGAGTGAGGATGATGAAGTGAGTGGGAAGAGTGGTGTGAGAGGTAGGAATTCAAGAAGGAAAGGGGAGAGGAGAGGCGCATGTGCATTAGGCAGCAGGAGCACTGGTTACAAGGACCCAGCCCAAATTGCTGAATGTGAAGCAACCTTCCGTGGAGATCTCTTTCAGTTCAAACGGTGGCACCTCCTTCAGCGGGCCGGACCAGACCAAGTCAGAACGGTAGAAAGGAAGAATATTAGGAAGAACACCTACAATTACCCATCCCTACACTCATCTTGCTCAACCAAAGTTTGAATTATGTAGGCAGCAGCACCTGAATGGTTAACCAAGAACCACTCTTCTGCTACCCCATCTGCTACGCATGACTCGTCACAAATGGTTACGAGCCCACGTGCGAGACAAAATTCACCTACTTTAATTTTATTGCTTATTCACTGTGCTTGCTTCATACCACTGTCAGATTGTCTGTTCGCTGAGATGTCTGCTCTCGGTGTTTTCGACTTTTTTCACCCCTACTGCAACTTCGACTGATTCAGTGTTTTTGGCACTCAATAGAGCGTTCAGACTCCCTTCCAGCCACAATGTCTCAACCAGCGATCATTACTCCTGGTGTCTACACTACCAAATTTTGGCGATGATATTCAAAAACGACTCAAGACGCATGTTCCATTCCGGCTCGATGATCAGTTGATGCTCCATTCAGACGATTTTAATTGATATTTTCCCACAATAGAGGGGTCTACGCAACCTTCCATCGCTTTCCTCCACTAATCAAATTAACTTAATCCTTTTGCCATGGGCGCATGAATGAGCAAATTCACTCACCTGTAGTCCAGTCATGACGGGAACAAATTCAAGGGTCAGCTGGGTCGACGTTGCAGGAGCCAAACTTGGCAGACGTTGGTAAGTCACACCTGTCCAAATGAAGGCCGGGAAGGCTGCCGCGGTAACAGCAACGGCAGCAGTAGCAGCACCTGTAGTAGTAGTAGTGTCAGAAGTCGTCTCGTAACCACCAGCAGTTGCAGTTGTCGCGGAGGTCTCTGGTCGAGAGAGCATGAGCTCCAGTACACGTGAACTGAAAAGGGATAATGGCCGACAGAAGTAGGTGGTGGTACTAATGGTGGAGAAGATGAGGGCAAAACTGAGGGCCATGGAACGGGGAGACTGAGCTCACCTTCTATTTGTGATCTCGCAGACCATTTGAAAGGGATCCTCAACGACAACCTGTGCTGGAAGTTTGACAACATTCATCGAGACATCGGAGTAATGCGGGATCTAGGATAATTTTGATAAATAAAAGTACACTCCATAAGCGACAAATGGACCCTGTTAACACATCAAGTGGTCACGAAAGAATGCACTTTCGATAATGACACTGGAATGGACCTTGACTTACTAATAAATTAAAAAAAATTCTATCTAGAAGAGGCTATGCGGAGGTGCATGGTTAAAAGACGATCGGGGATTGATTAAGTCAAAACACAGAGGTAGAGGTCATGCAACTTCGATCGGAGAACGACTGCCATTTCGGTGGCAAAACAGTAGGAGTGAATGATTTGGCAAGAGAGTGTAGCGCGAATCCATGCACAGGTCCACAGAGCTCTATCTCACGGTAATAGTTTTGAGCTTAGAAATTCGGTACAAGGTGTGCTGCGAAATGAATTGGGTGCATCGCTGTATCCAGCATTCTTGTGTGACAAAACATTTTTGGGGTGCAACTGATTACAAAGGTCAAAGTGCTAAAGCCAGTCCACCGTAAAGCAAGAATGCACGGATAAATGTGAAGAAATGAGGCATGAAAAAGGCTGCGCCTCATTTGGAAGGTGGGAGAAGATGAGACTTACATTAGACATACAGGGAAAGGTTAAGAGATGACCCGTTTCACCCATGGTTGTGCGCCAAGCAATGTCTAGGTGGCCAAGTTTTACTTCACCCGCAGCAGACGCCGCGCTGGTATTGAGAGGCTGAGTGAGGTAGAGTAGTCGCCACACCTCTTTCGGTGCCATCAAGGTGGGAGTGAGACGACCTTTTCGCCTGCTCCTAAACAAACACATGCACTGACAGTCATTGGGGTCTGGCACCAACGCACGCCTCAATATTTCCCTAAGCAGACACCATTCACACCTATGCACATCATCAACTCTCTTCATGCATGTGATCTACTGTGAGTGGACGGCTTTCTGTTTAAAAGAGAAAAAAAGTTGCATGTGTAATCCAACCCATGAGCCGGCGATGTGTCTATTTTGGTAGGAAATGAAATGAGGATGTAGGCAGCAACAAACCTCGTCCAATCCACGAGCGAGTTTAAGTCAGTTGCCTTGATCAGAGGCCCTGGCTCCCAAGCCAATCGCTCCACCATAAGGGGTTGTGGCATGAGATTCTCAATCTGTGCCTCCACGTAAATGTTTGAGCCCTGTTTGGAGATGGAAGAACCGAACTGACTTACCAGCAATTAGAAATTGAGGGCACTCAAGTGTGGTTTCGAGGGGAGGCAAAATGCAGGGTTGGGAAAAGTGGGATAATTTTCGCACAATCATAGTGTAAAGCGGACAACCCAGAGTACCAGGTAGCTGGATTTGCAATTAGCCTTACCGAAGTAGGAAATTGCGTTGGCTTGAAATCGAATGGTTTGCCCACCTGAAAGAAAGAACGAACTGTCAATCAATGCATTCCTATTGCGAAGGGCAGGGTAAAGGTATGCCACCTAATGACCTCTTCGTAACCAAGGAGTCAGAGGACATCCGACCCCTAGAACGGGTGGAAAATGGGCTGTGAAAGAGCTCAAAAACGATTGCTGTAGGGCTGAAGTACTAAATGAGGACCTCACTACCTGGTGCGCGTACAAGTCGCTTCGCACCAGAACAACAAAATGAGCCACAAGCGAGACCGCATGAATCGCTTCGGTCATCCGCATTTCCTTGACAATGAAAAAACGCCTTTCCTTGACAGGAAAGTGTAAACAAAGTGTCACACCTTGTAGCCATAAAGCCGGCTGGTTGAAAGAGAGTAATTTTACCGATATAAACTCTTTTCAAAGGGCGTAGACCACACTCCGTATTCAATAATATTAAGGAGTTGGAAAAGTCGCACGGCATCGACTTTCTCACGGAAAGGGAGCAAATTCAAATATTTATTGGTGGATGCCGCATCAGATCACTACTTTAATCACTTAGTAGTGTGCTACACCATCGACACGGATACTTTTCGTCGAAAATTTGCAGTACTTTTTGAAAAAAAGTGCATTAATGGTAAAATCGGTGCATTAAGTGCTTAATACCTAAGTGAATGCGTAAAAAGAAATGGAAATGACAAAACAAACCGTGAATTTGAAGGTTT